AACCGGGCTGTAAAACGTGCCTACCATATACCTTGCACATCACATATGCGTGACCCGAGAAGCTATAAAACTCCTTCCCTTTTCCTTTTTTTAAGTTTCAATAGCCCTGGTCGTATTTGTAGCACAGGGCTGCACAGACAACCCTACCCGTCGTCCATAGAAAAAATTTTTGGCTAATCGTGTAAGACACGGGCCGAGCCGAGCTGTACCGAGCCGTGTTTTAGTAATTGCTGTATGTCCTAGCTGCTTTACCAATATACGAGGAATTTTTGAAAACCGCATTAACTTGAGGGCTCAGCTAGCGGAACAGGAATCTACGGTGCCGTATGAACAGGAATTTTTTTTGCTGCTTCATGTCCTGTTTACTAAAATCTCCGTTAACCCACCGCTTCTTTAATATTCAGTTCCGGGTATTCATCGAAATCAACACAACCTTCTTTGTTTGACCAAACATCAGTAATCTGTTGGTGCTGTTGCTAGTTAAACTTCACACAGCGTAATGGTAATACGAATTACGGCTTTCTGAACCTAAATCATCACTCATTTTTGAGGAAAACGAGTAAAATTGTTACAATCCCACAGTAGTTATGTTCCTCCCTCAAATTTTGTAGGCATTTTGGCGCTTTTTTTTTCACGGGGTTTTTGAACTATTTTTGCATAGACAAAAATACAAAGCGGTGAAAATCATTAATAGGCAATCGTTCGATGGGCTGAATTGCAAAAAACGCATGATCGCACCGGCTAGTCTGGTGTGCGTTGCTATTTATTACATTTTATGTGTGTTTTTTTTTTTTGTTGCAGCAGTTGTAAGCGGACACTCATTCGAGGATCTCGTGCATCGTGTGTTAAATGTTATTGCGGAGCAGTCACGATCGCATGCTTGGGTGCCTTCGCGAGCACAAGTTTTTTAACCTCATATTATTGTAAAATTATTAGACAGGCGCTTCCCAGTTATGAGGTCCTCTGCTCTTCCTATTTCCCGAATAGATGTTTTTTGGGTATTTCGCGATCTTGATCTGCCTTCTTCATCGCAAAACTTGGAGAAATTTGGTGTGTTTTTCTTATATTTGACACTAATGGGACACCCTTATACATGCACCGGTTGCAGGTATTTAGAAAGTTTGATCCTGAGCATCATACATCAATTTAGTACCCGTCGCTCAGTTATTGAAACGGCCTTGATATTTTTTGATGTTTTTTTTTAAAAAATTAAATTAAGGGGAGCACTTTCTTTCCATAATCCTTTCACTTTATTCTGAAGCTTTTCATTGTCTTCATGGCATGTCTGTATTGTCCTCATATTTTCCTTTTTGATTTTGGCAGTTGATATTTTC